AGGCATTACAAATGAGAACATGATATAGCACAGATAATAAAACTTAAAAAAAAAAAAAAAGAAAAAGGGAGGGGTGGAATCTTAAATCAAAGCTTTAGAATAGGGAGGGGAAAAAAGGCCTCCAAGGTTTTTCTGTTCTTCTGTTTTCTCTGTCCATGGAGACATACACACAGAAGGTATTATCTGGAGCTTTGGGTACAGTGAATGATCCAAATAGGAGACAATTCAAGGTTGATCTTCCACCTTCTATTTTGTAATATAATCCAACAGCATAAGAGAGCTGCTGTAAAATGTGATTATTTTTCAGGCAGCAATGATGGCTGAGGAGCTTAAAAAGGAGCAGGATACTAGTGCTCACTTAGAGAGAATGAAGAAGAACATGGAGCAAACCATTAAAGACCTCCAGAAGAGACTGGATGAAGCAGAACAAATAGCTCTGAAAGGTGGCAAGAAGCAGATCCAGAAACTGGAATCCAGGGTAAGTTTGGGATGCAACTTCAGACCACTGTCACCTTCTTACAGAATTGGCACTAGGTACGTAGCCTAGGGCTAGCCTGCTAAGTTTATAGAGGCCAAGAAGGGATAGTATGAATGCTTTCCTCTGTTTCACAAAATGCAGGTGAGCAGTGCTTCCCCTTCATCATCCAGCTATGAGCTGTTGACCAGCAGATGACCAAAGCCCTTGATTAAAAAAAAAAAAAATTAAAAGCCCGACCATCTAAAATCAGCAAAAGCCTCTCCAATGCTTGCTTTGTTAAATTTTTCTGGCCTTCGCATATGTCTGTACCTCTGACTGCTGGTGCAGCTTAAATACATTTAAGAAAAAGCAAAATGGAAAGGTGACATTTTGATCTCTTCTTGAAATTTGACTCTATGGTGATGCCTAGAAAATAAGCATTTCTTGAACTATGAGCCAAATTATCTGATGCTTTAAATATATGTAGCATAATGGCAAGGGTTTTTCCTCTTTTGCAGGTTCGTGAGCTGGAGAATGAACTTGAGACTGAACTCCGTCGCAATTCAGATGCCCAAAAAGGAGCCCGCAAGTTTGAGAGACGCATAAAAGAGCTGACTTACCAGGTATGTTGGGGACTGTGGCAACCACTAGGTCCCTGGAAAGAAACATGTCTTAAATTGCCTCAGTGTTCCAGTGGAGGATGGCATTACCCAGAGCTTTCTGATTACAACCAAAGCTTTAGGCATAGGAGAAATATCTCCCTAGGGCTACCGTCAGAGAAGCATAGAATCGTTGGGGTTTGGAAGGGGCCTTAAAGATCATCTCATTCCAACCTCCCCATCACAGGCAGGGACACTTTCCACTACACCAGGCTGCTCGGGCTCCATCCAGCCTGGCCTTAAACACTACTTCCAGGGATGGGGCATCTACAGCTTCTCTGGGCATCCTGTTCCAGTAATCATCATCCTCTTGCCTGATTTGTTGTAACTAGGGGTAGAAAGCCTCTGCCGCTGGGAATTTGGAGAGTTTTAGTACAGCATTAATATGGAGCAGGCTTCATGACTATTTACAATGCAAGGGAAGAAAGAGCCCAGCTGTCTCTCAGCTGTGCCACTGTTGCCAAAGGGAGCCAGAAGGACTCTGATGACTAATGCACCACTCAGTGTAGGGTTGCTCAGTCCCAGAACCTCGTCACCTATTGCTGAGCAGCAAGGCTTAGTCTTGAGCCTCCTGCAGGTTTGCTAACAGCTGCTGTTTCGAAAAAGGCCTGCAGCACAGAGCACTGATCCTTTTGTTTCCAAAAGCATTCTTAAGAAGATAAACCCATCCATCTGCTTTAGATTATTTAGACTCCTACTTGTTTTATTTTGACTTTTGTACGCAGAAGCTGAAGGTTGTTTTCTTAGAATACAGTGAGCCAGCAGAATTAGCTGGTCCTTCTGCTTATCGAGTGTGACAGCTGAAACCTGGCTCCTTTTGCCAGAAATGCCTCCAAACCAGACTTTAAATTATGCAAATTACAGTTTTAGACTATTCCATAAATCTGTTTCACTATATCACAGCACGCTTTATAATGACCAGAGTGTTCCTCATCCCTGAGCGAGGAACTCTGGGTGTGTGTATGTGTACACCTCTGAAAGTGTGTGCACATATATATCTGTGTTTATATGTATCTATATTTACATGTATATAAATGTAGAGGGTACTCTCCTCAGTCCTCCACGCTTACACACATCTTCAATGAACCTACAGAATATTTTCTCATCTGTATACAGAAGGATCACAAAATGGCTGGTTTGTGTTTTGAGTTATAAGTTTCTAAAATATGCATGGCATCTATACTTCATGCATTGTGGGAGATGTTCTAGGCCTTTTTACTCCAGAAGCCCAACTAATAGTGTTTTGATACAGTCAGAAGAAGATAAGAAGAATCTTGCCAGGATGCAGGATCTGATTGACAAGCTACAATTAAAAGTGAAGAGTTACAAGCACCAAGCAGAGGAAGCTGTAAGTAACTATTTGGGCCTTTTTACCTTTGAGAGATTTATTGTTCTAAACCCACAGTCTTTTATCCATAGAAGCTTCTAGTACAAATACATGCTTTTTGTGCATTAATATTTTTAGTTCATATAAACCCCAATATATAAAACTGTATTTATATTTCATATAAAATAAAACATTTGGCCTATTTGTTGCTTATAGTTAAGATATTCAATTTTATCTTATGATTGCAGTATAATTTGCAAGGGAAGGGGGGAAGGGAAAGAACAGGAAAGACTTTTTTCCTCCTAGCCCCTCAGAAAGCACATTGAGAGCGTCACAGTTCAGCTAAAATGGAGAATGCCTCTGGAAACATTAGCTCTGTAAAACAACAATCTCAGTTCTCCAGGAGGCAAGTGGTCTCCGTAGGGCTGTTAGCTCATCACACTGAGCACTTTCCACCCCACTTCAAATGAAAAGCTTTGTTTCATGTGGACAGGAGGAAATCAGCTGCACTGTTTTTTCTCACCAGGAAGCTCAAGCCAATCTGTACCTCTCGAAGTACAGAAAACAGCAACATGATCTGGATGATGCTGAAGAAAGGGCTGAAATAGCTGAATCTCAGGTTAATAAGCTGAGGAGCAAGTCAAGGGATATTGGCATGAAAAAGGTACAGTAATACTGTGTGGGGTAAATGAGACTATTTAATACACAGTAGTGGATGCTATGTATCTGTTTCATCCCTGAAAATAGCATAGACTGGAATAAATTCTTGTTTACCACATTTGTTTAGTTTCAGTCTATCCTTTAACATTAAGATAACCCTTCAGGACAGCAATCTGACACTTAGACAAAATATATTCTCTGTCCTTTTGATGGTGTCATTTAACCTCTGTGCTCAGCAGCAGAATATGGGTTTATTATGGTTGGGTTTTTTTTTTCTTTTTCAAGGAATATTAAAAGACTTCACCTTTTCCTCCCTCTGTTGATGCAGCTTTCTATGTATGTAATACAGCCCGGGGGTTACCACATTAGCATATTGCCAGATATTTAAACATTGCTCTTTTAATGAACTTGTATTGATTTGAAGAGCTGGACAAAAATAAAATGTTACTGATTAGTCACCTACATGCTGGGAAGTCATTAGTTACTAGAAATATATTTGTGGTGTTTTGCAGTTGATATGAATGGTAGCAGAATAATGTGGATGAACCTAAAAGGTACCTAAGCTCTTGGTCTGGAACTGAAAGTAAACCTTTGCTTATCTATGCTTACCTTGTGGCAAAAAAGTAGGGTTCTTACTTCTAGGAATGACAGAAAGAGGAGCTGGTTCATTGCTTTATCTATTTCATTTGCAAGTGAAACATAAACTTTCATGCTTAACATCATTTAAGTTTTATGGGGATAACAGCTCCTGAGTTAAGAAAGAGGTGGAAAAAACCCTTTCTCTATAATTTTGGTATTTTTATCACATGTGATTCCAACACTCTCCTCTTCTCTTCTGTAGCCACCATTCTATGGCAGGGGACACTCTAACTTCTGATTTCGTATTGGACTAATAGTCACCTTTGACTGATATAAATGATTGTTGCTCCACCATCTAGAGCACAGCTACATTAAAACTACATGAATATCTGGTCTCACACATTTACATATGGTGGAAGCAGTACTGTAACTGAAGCTCAAAAGAAGATTTGCAGCTTTTAAAAGTAAAAAATTTCCATAGATTTTTCTTTAAATCATTCCAGCCCTACAAAAAAATGAAAACTCACAGATTCACATATGACGCCATGGCATCATACCAACACCATAGCTATTTAGGTAAACCACGAGAGTAAATTATTTTGTAAATACTGTTAAGATTGCTGTTTATACCCTGTATCTTAGTACCCTCTTTCTACCTCAAATATGCAAAAGTCACAGAACAGTGGATGTCTGGTTTTATTAGTCAGATACTATTTGCCAACACCAAATCCAGCTCTGGTTTATAGCAGTGTTGCACTGCCAAAAGGTGAGCTCAACAGTGCACACAGAGGTGTCAGCTCCACAAAAAGAGTTTTGTGGCAGTAACAGCAATAGCTGCCAGGAAACATGTTCAGGCAGTGAGTGTTGTGCCAAAAGTCATGACACATCTTTGGGGAGAGAAAGGCACTGCAGAGACTACTCTAATCATGTAGCATTAGAAATACCTTGTCTAGTGCTACTACTACCCACTATCCTGGAAACACCATCTATTGAAACAGGGTTGTATAGAAGTCCTCTGCTCTCAAAGGGAAATATATAATCCAGAATCAGGACAAGACAGCTGTATTGTTAGCAAAGTTTGGCTAGATTGCTGCTACTCTATTTCAGATACAAACTGAAAATACCAGGAAGTAGAAGCATTAGTAAATAGAAGCTTTTGTCATTTACTTGTGAATTTATCCTAAAACCCCTCAACACTTCCATTTTCTTTTTAACAGTAATATACTATCTCAATTGCATTTCAGGTTCATGAAGAGGAGTAAGTTCACTCCAAGCTGACAGATATGAGAAGATACTTGATATAATCAGGCACAACTGAAAGCAGATGTAGAAAAAAAATAAGCACTTACAGAAATAAACATCAAGTGAAAATCCAAACAGACTTTACAGCGTATTTCATTCATTTATTTGTGTTTCTATTTTGCCAAGCCTCAGGGATCAATAAAAGATTACATCTTGCCAGCAGCCCACTTCATTATGCTGGAACAAATCCTAATTGGCAGATCTCTGACAAAATCAAAACCAAGGGCAAATCCAGTAATGCTTCACAGCCTCACGTATGTCATATGCAGATTGCTAAAGTAGCTGTTGTTTCTGGGGTGCCATGTCCCCACAGGATTTGACTTTCAAGGCCCAAGAAAGTGTTCTGGGCAGTGGAGTGAGGTGCAGGGTGCATCTCCAGCCATCCACTGGTTCTCTCCACCACTGTCAGCACACAGCACTTGCCTTGGTGGGTTTACAGGAGAACCTTTGACATCTTTTAAGATGTTAAGGCTGCCTGTTGTGTCAGCACAGGCGGATCCATTATGGCCATCAGCAGAGATGAATATCTTCAGGCCATGTGCGTGATTTGTCCTGATGCCTCCCCAAGCTCGAGCTCCAAGTTATCACAGGTTTGTGAGAGGACAAAGAAACATCCAGCCCTGTAGCCTGAGATGGCAGGTGTGCACACCTGGATTGTCTGAGTCATCAGCATTCCAGTCTTTTCACAACTGTGGATACATTCTTCTCCTAGGATAATAGAGTACCCCCTTATCTTAAGTCCCTCCCCATAATCTAAATTAGTAGGCGTATTTGGGGAAAAGAGAGAAGGTGGATACCAGAGTCTTTGTGTAACCCAGGACAAATACTAAATGAAATGAAAAACAGTAAGCCTTCTCTTTCCCTAACACTGAAAAAAAAATCCCTCAAAACTTAGAGATTTCTTCTTCTGTGGAAAATTCTTTGTTCCTTTGGGAAATCCAAGTTCCAATCTCTCATGCCAGCTTCTCGAATACAAGCATCGATTGACTTTTTTTTTCCTCCTATCACTTCCTTTGTTTGTTGCTGTTGCTCAGAGAATCACATTTCCATGTGGCTCTCTTGCTGTAACTGAAAGGGGAAGGTGAAGGAACTCTGTTCATCAACAATTTCAATTGCACCTGTGCGCAGAGAAGCATTTTCTTCTCGTACCTTATGATGCTCACAGGATTCCTGTCCTTCTGCATTTCTAGGCAAAACAAAAATGCTTGTAAAAACTACTGAAGTGTAAAATTAATCCCCTAGTGGGAACAGAACAAGACACACTCACTGTAAAGGTAAGTCAGCATTTTCCATTTTAACATTATCTGAATAAAATAAGCATCCACATAACAGTGCAGAAACATTCCTGTTTCTTCCATCTAGTCCTTCAACCATGGAACCAGAGCTGAGTTACCCTGTAAACTGTTCCACTTCCTCTGATTATGATATGTTCAAGGTCTCAATAGGTCCCAAGATAAATTAATCTTGCTTAAATTCTTTAGAGAGCTGCATCGCAAGAGTATATTATCATCTCTAAAGCACGTTAGCATTAAAATTGACTAAAAAGCATGTAAGTCAATCTGTAAGTGAGAGAAACATGAAAAAAGACTAAGGCATGATCATGTGTTCTTGCTGAACCTCATGGTAACCATCATCAAATGCCCCCTGAAGCTTACCAAATTCAGACTGTGACAAAAACCCGGGGAGTTTGGAGGTATATCTCTCCATGGATAGGGCTGTACTGTCAGGCACAGAAAGAGGGACTAATAATGAAAGTTTGGTTTTTTTAAGGGTACCCACAACAAATGCAGAGGAAAAAGACAGAATATTCCAAGACAGAGCCAGCCTATAACAAATGCATGAGAATAAAATGCATCCACTTGAAGATGCTGTACTCCAGTAAATAGGAGAGATGTGCAAAGATATGAGATTAGGGACCATATGGTTATAACAGTCTCCTAAACAAAGCAATGCAGTATAACTTTTCAAACTGAGGTTTTTATGAGCTTTGACATTGGATACAATTGAAATAGTAATCTGGGCCCTAATGAAGACTCGGTACATGAATTGTTTGAGGGACTTTGTGCTTTGGTTTGGGTTTTCTTTGGTTTTAAACACAAGTGAGAAAATTCACCAGTTTGAATGTTCTTAAAGCAAGTTACTGGAAAGTATTTGTGAGGGGTAACCTTTCCCCCAGTGACTGCTCAGTTCTGACTTCACTCCTGGTGGCTCCTATCCTGCCAGCCCAATCAGCCCTGAGATTTTCTTCCCTGTCTATTAAAACAAAAGATTATCCTAGCTCATGATGCTCACAATGCAATTGCTTAATCATAACTGTCAAGCTATAGCTACTGATTAACAACTTTATAAAAAGTTGCAAAGTTTGACTCAAACCCCTATGCAAATCTTGAGGGGCTCAGTATGAACAGTACCTTAAAAAAAATACTCTAATGATTGTACATACCTTACTACGAAGACAGTATGCTGCTACCAGTCCCACTGCAACTAGGAACACTGCTCCTACCACAGTAGGAGCTAGCACAGTATTCCAGGTGTTACCTGAATTTTTTTAAAAATAAAAATTCCAAAAAGTTTAACAGAAGTGCTTTATATCACAAAATAATGTTCACTATTCAATAACTATATCAAAGTAATGATTTTTCTTATTTATAATCTAAAAGCTATGATTTAGGGAGAAAGAAACATTAAAAGGAAACAAAGACAACAATGTTCAAGTCATTTGACTCATACTGTAGGACTTTAAAGTGATACTTTACTGAGTTAAATGTGAATAGCCTAAAGCACATTATTTTACTTAATTGTGCTGATAAAGAATTCCATTTGTGCTTATGTGATATGATTTGATGACTTCTTAACAGTAGTCCCATTTAAAACCAACCAGCTGCCCAGGATATTAACCACTGTCTCCAGGCATGGTGCTCAGTGCCATTAATGGCACTGCTGATTTCCAGTAGAGCAGCTCTGGAAATGTTATCCAGCCTGGACCACAGATTTCATGACTTCTGTTGCAAAATCTTTGCAACTTTAATCTAAAACATTTCCCAGCTTCTTAATGCAACCATGCAATCCAGGTGGACACAAGAAATCCTGAGGTGGGTGGTAACAATGGATTCCACAATTGCCCATCTAGCCCAAACCTCTGCGCGGCACCAAACTGTCAGAAGAGCTGTATGGTTCTTCTACTTCAGGCTACCTTTCCACTGCTGTGTCTAGTCCAAAGAATTTGAAAAATTCTACACTTCTCTGGAAACAGTTAAAAAATGAGAACTGCCAAAACAGAGCATTTAACCTAGTCATTGCCTTTAGTTGGACTCTGTATCCACATCTTGTCAGTTCCTTTGGTAGAGCAGCTTTAAGCTGCAACCCTTCCTTACACAGGACAGACTCTCTTAAATGATTGTATATTCATCTTTCTTTTCCCCTTAAAAGCCTTCTTTCCAGTGACACTTGGAAATCCTCCTGATGCTTGAGCTGCTGCTGTGCCATGACTGCTCTGCAACATAGTGACCTGTCTTGTTCCCTTCTACCCTGCTGTCTATCCGCTTATCCGCTTTCTGCCTATGCTGCCACAAAGGTGCCAGTCTCTCTGATAAGTGTCTTCTCTGTACTGTATAATGTATTTCTGGTCCAAGAGCAGGAAGATTCTGTGAGCAGCACAGTAATTTTGCCACTAAAGAGGGGATTTGTATCACCTATGGCTATTGTAAGGTCCATCTGTAGAGAGCAGGTAGAGAAAGGCATTTGTAGGGGATGACTCTGATCATATTTGGACTGTATCCAGTAAACATACAGGGAGACTGATGGACCTGTGCACGTAACTTAGGAGAGCCAGTTAAAAGTGTGACTCCTTGGAGGTGTTCAATGCTCTCCACTTCAGAAGTGCAATATTAGGTTTACAGGATAAGGAAGATCATGCTGGAATTTGATCTGTAGGGGAGTATGTTTGGCTGACTTAAATGTTTTCTTTAATCTAACTCCCCTCCTTCAGGTTGTGTATAGCCACTGCCATTTAAAACATCAAGTTTTCAGAATGAAACTAAGCTATCATGGGGGAGGGGGAAGAAAGGAAGACAAAAAGATGCAGCTATTATCACTTATTCTAGCCCCTTTTCGCTTATGTTGCCACTATTTTTCATGTCCTGGCTTAATTCAAATTCTCTTCTTTCTTAAAAAACACCAGTGAGGTGCCCTATATTAGTTCTCAGTCTTTTAGGTGATTGTATTTAATTGTGTAAAATTAAAGTAGCCTGTGTGCTACTGTTGTTTTATGGGCTACTGACAATGAAAAAACTGTAACTAAGACTTCACAGCTGGAAATGTACTACAGTTCATAAAAACACAGGCATGCATTTAAACATATATATACCCAGGCCTAAAAGAGGCCCACAGTGCAGAATTAAAGTTTTGAAAATAGCAACTGTGTGTTCTCTTCAATCAGGTTTCTTCTGTAGGCAAACTTATACCACATCTTCGGGCTTCTCATCATCCCTCTGCCACCTTTAAAACCATATTTGCTGTAAGCAGAACATTTAGGACAGGATTCTGAGAGTCCCCCTGTCCTCTCAGCTCTGAGGGCAGTTGGTGGCAACCAAAGGCAGCCACCAATTTTGAGATCTTGGCCACAGAAAAGCTGCTGACTGAAAAATAAGAAATTTCTAGTCTTTAAATAAAAACATCTTAGGTAACCTTTTTTTGCCTGGGACAACAATAATAAAATATCTCTTCTACCCAACTGTACTAATTACACAAGATGATTTTTCTCAATATTTTACAGATTTCCAATTGACTCTTTGGCTGTGCATGACCCTACCTGGTCCTCATCCTGTGAAATGAAAGGAGTGGCAACTTACCAACTTGCAAAGTTGTCACAATGACTTTTGTGTAGTGAGGTGTTGAAATATTACACAGATATTCTCCACTGTCAGCTGCAGTAAGATGATGCAGGATCAGTGAAAAGTCACTTCTGTTTATCTGAGCTCGAGGCTGGTAAGAGTGGGATGTACCATTGAAGGAGGCCACGACTGAAGTCACTGAATTTCTGTTTAATTTCCAAACAACATAGACACCTTCAGTGTTCGCAGAGTTATTGCTGTATTCACAAGGAATTACGGTGTCACTTCCTTCTGTATGAGACAGTTGGTCTGAAACAGATAATTAAAGAACTCTCTCCAGGTTATTTTGAAAATACTCTGAAGGTTATTTAGACATATTCTGATTTTTTTATGAGGTCTAATACCACTACCGACAAATATAAAAACACAGTTCGCTACTTTGATATCATATTCAAACATCACAGAATGTTTCTAGAAGCATCTGAAGATTTTAAAAACAAACTACCTTACACTAAAAAAACCTCTAATTGGTATTGGCAATACTTAAAAAAATACTTTCTTTTTCATTTGACTATTTCTCCTCTAATTGGGGGGCTCATTAATAGAAGTGATTCAGTCTAGTCTTAGTTACTGTGTAAAGTAGCATGAAATCCCACATGCTGGGAGCAGAGAGAAAATGCAACTAATAAGATACTTGCATATTTAAAGCAAAAGGATAAAACTCTTACAATATAATTTAATAAAAGAATAAAAAGATTATATTTAGTTAGAAACAGCTTTCAGCTACAGTGGACTTAAGTATTTTACTTATCTATGTTGAACATTTAACAGTTAATGAATAGCTTTAAAAAAACAAGAAGGGGAAGGAGAAGGCAGGTAAGTGGAAGGAATATCTAAATTATAAAATATTAAGATAAGACAAACTAGCATCATAGCACAACTATCAATTTAACAGCAGGGATTTTCTGCCAAGAAAGGAAAACCAGAGGAGGCTGTGGTGGCTGGCAGTCAGCTGGAGAGGAAGCTAATACATTATTTTGACGTGGTATAACCACGCTTGGTTTCTGTACCCCACACTGCTATTACAGAAGGAAAAGCAGAGCAGTTTGCTTTCAACATGTTCTACCGAGGGGATAGATGGATGCAGGGAAATTCAAATAAAAGTGTAACCAATTGTAGCTTTTTCTCTTGTGGATCAGAGGCATAGATTAACAAAACAAACACAGTGCAATTGTTAGCTACTATGATGCCATTCTTGAAACTCTCCATATTGTAAGCCATTCTATGTATTAAAAACTGCGCTCTTGTTCTGCAGCACATGCAGTGGATTAGGAACTGAGAGCATCTGTGTACATGTTACAGGGAAATCAGGGTGATGGAAGCAGCCATGCACATCTCACAGGGGAACTGCTCTTGTATTGCTCTTCATCCAATTAAAAAATATTTCCTAAGATACAGGAGAGGTTGAAAAGAACCATTTATTTACTCAAACTGAATTTCCAATGAAATTCAGGAGGAGGACAAAACAGAGTTGAAATTTCATAGTCCCGATTTTCCTTAACTAACAAAATGAGCTACTGTTTGCTAAAATGCAGTGTTTGCTGCTCTCAGCCCAGCACTCAAACTGGCACCTAAGAACGCACATACAGTGGAAGGATCAAACAGTACTGATAAAAGTCTGGCAAAAGATGGGAAATGGACTGAGTAAGGACCATACGCATCTAGAGCAGCAGGCAAACTTTCAGATAACCCACATATTCCACATGAGGTTTCCGTGTATTTTGTCCAAGTTCATTCTTTCCTTGCTGGAGTGTAAAGTTTATTTATTAGGTACCTCTTAAAATGTGAAACTGATATGGAAGAAACATTCAGAGTAAAAGTAACTTAGAGAAGGGTGAGCTAGCCCCTCTCATTTCTACTTCTTGGATTTAAATTGTAATGCTGCCTTGTAATCCTAATAGAAGAGTTTCAAAGAGAAAGGTATATCCTTCTGCACTATCCCATATCCATGTTGCCCCACTGCAGAAATACTGTCTTCAGTTTGGCTCTGAAGCCAGCTGTGACATTTAGTAATGATGCAGGAAGAGACTTCCATTCATTCCTACCTTGCATCTTCCATTCAGCAATCCAGTTTAAACGATGGGCATGAATATGACAGTAGTAAGGATCTGCTCTTGTGTTTATAATGTTCTGGTCACTTCTAAGAGAATAGAGGACTCCATCCCTGGTTTCCTCACGATCTATTTCTTGGATGGATACATTGCCTTGTACCCAAGATATATTTGGTGCTGGATAAGTGAGAAAGGCATAACACTTCAGTTTCCTTTCTGTGTCTGTCTTTTGGTATTCCAGTGCATAATAAGAGGAGACTGTAGATGAAAAGAAAAAGTTTAAAAAAATAAATCTTACTACTTTCAAAATAGTTTTTAACTTGAAGTGATTGCTCTTGTGAAATAACATTGGGGAGAATAATTAGAACAACACTTAATGTGTGTTTGATTTCAGAAGAAAGCATAGTGACTTACTGTCAATGCCAGGGTCTATACTATTCTGAGAAGCCACGTAATGTATCTCACCTAGTAACCCCTTAGAAATCACTCTGCAGTAGGTTATGAAAACAAGTGCTGCACTGTAATTTTTCAACTCATGTTACAGTGTTTCACTAGAGTAAACAAATTGCTTCATAACACCATCAGGCCCAAAATGTGCTCTATTGGGTTGGAAGACTTTGATTCCATGTGAGAAATAACACAAGAAAATCATCCCATTTCCACTGGTGCAATCCAAGCATTTTTGATGTCTTACTGACCTTTTACACGTAGTGTGACGTTCTGGTTCGTATGAGTTTCTTTTGTTCCCACATAACATCCATAAGTGCCCTCATCAGTCACGGTCAGGTTACAAATTTTCAAGGAAGCATTTCCACTAGTGATGTTCTCATGGAAAAGCTGTGTTCTGTTAATGTATTCTGAGCTATCTGCCAGCTGATCCTTCTGGTGGTAGTAGGAGTGCACAGTTTTTCCTCCTTTACTCCAGTGAATTACAACATCATGCCCCCGTGGGAAAGAACAAGGAAGGATGCAATCCTCAGAAAACAGCCCTGTAACTTCTTCCTGTTCTGTAAAACCTAAAGTCCATAAGTACAAATGAGTAAGTTTCATCCAGTCTACAAGTATATTTCTGCCCTTCCTTATACTTGACAAAAAAACCCCCCTCTTGTAGGCAGCACTATCCAGTGTGTCAAGGTCTCTTTCATGGCTTTTCTGTTGCATGAGTCCCTAGGGACAGCAAGGGTCTTCATTCAGTTTAATCAATATTATAACACAGAGCTCTGGTCTTTAAACTTACAATCAGTTTACGTAGAAATCCTGAGTAGGCACCTACTTGTTCAAATCAGCACACTGCCACCTCCCCACCTGAGCTTCAAATGTATTTCCACATCTCTTCTACCTTGAACTTCTAACCCTTCTGAGCTGCAGCTTGCTGCTTCCTCATACCTTCACAGTGCCATGCTGCAATGACCCACGTTACCAACCACCCTCACATGGTGCCAAGCAGTTGTACCATCACAGGGAATAAGGACCTGATGGTGTAACTGGCAGTGAGGACAGAACTTCTTGGAACAGCTTTGCCACCACAGACAGGGAGCTCTGTCCCAGCCCCCAGAGATAACTCGGGTGTGCATTCCTCGCACATTCCTCGATTCTTTACCGTTAATAAACAGTGTTTGAATTAATTAATTCTCCCTATTAGAAATAAGTAATAGTTGTTGTCTTAATTATTTTTCAGCTAAAACTTACCCCAAAGTGTAGCACTGATGTAAAATAAATAGATGGTAAGAGCTGGTATGTTCTGTCCCCTCATGTCTTCACTGGTTCGTAGTAGACTCATGTCGAACTGGTAACATAAAAGAAGGGGAGAAAACTTGTTTAATGGCAGGTAAAAGACATACCATGATGATATCATTTCCTTTGTACATCTTATTAGGAACTATAGGCCTTTGTACCATGTTTTTTTGTTTCCAACAGTCTTGGCCCAGATTTTTGGCCTTATGATCCTATGCATTTCATAATGGCTGAGGGCCTCTCATTACCTTGCAGGCCCCTGCAGATTGATACTTTATTTGTAATAAGTAGAAACTGTTTACTCTCAGTGTTCTTGCAGGCCTGGGGAATATTAATCTTCATCATTCCTCAACAGGACACCAAGGAAAAATGCTCAAGTACAATTTGCAAAAGGATGTAATATGTCCCTTGTCAAGCCTGATTTTTTTTTTTACTTAAAATATATTTCTGATTATTACAACATTGACTTTCTTGGATGGGAAATTTGAGTGTATTTGTAAATATTGCAGATATAGAGAACTTTTCACACTTTACTTTTCACCAGATCAAAAGGGCATCAGCTGAACTTTCAAAAATGTGTGTATAGAAACGTAGGGTAGGAATGCAAAGGAGGATGAGAGTCTCTCATCATATCTTCTGGTTTGTCACTTAAATAGCAATGAACTGAAGGCTCTCATGCATGATAGAAAAAGAATAATCTTATTATAACTGATAAACTGCACTCTTTCTCCATTCAGGCATAACATCCTAAAATACAGCACACCACAGTGGAGAAATTACCTCATGAATCAAATAGCTTGAAAAGAGTTTAAAGAGTTTTCCCTAGTCCTTTTCTTCTCTCCAAAAGGCAGCTATAGGTACCATTCCTAACTTACACAGGGCACAGGTTTAGCCAGGCTTGCTAGCCAGTTCTTTTAATATTAATGAGTGATTTTGACTGGTGTGTGTGACTGTATTTGTGGTGAATGTAAATCTTACATCCCAATGATTTTTGCGTGTTATTTCTTTTGTAAAGCTAGTGTGATTGTTTTACATATTCTCACTATTCATTAGGAGGAAAAACCAAACCAAACCAAAAACAACAAAGAGGCACCAAGATATTAAATCTGAGACAGGTGATGCAAGAGTAAAACAAACATTTATGATATATAACTTTGCTCCATGTCAGCAACAACTGCCAGTATCCACCTTCTTTTCTCCTTCTCATTTGCAAGTGGTGTACATCATGTTTCATTGGATTCTTCACTCATTTGTCCATCACTTCCAACCTGTGATTGATACAACATATTGTGCTTGATGTTTGAATTTCAAAAACTGCAGTCAATGCTATATTTCCCTTAGTGAGTGATGTGCCACGTTTAATAGACAGTCACATTTAATTGGCAGTGATGCTCTCAGAGTAATGTGGTTCCAACAGTACCTCTGTGATGCCTTTGGGGGCTGCATGGGCAGCGCACACTGCCTCCCATCTTCTACCTGTACTCAACAACCCTGCTCTAAAATACAGAACTACAACTAGTCAGCTGAAAATTTTCATGTTCAGCACAAATCTTAGCTTTGGATCTTCCCATTGCACCATGTAGAGAACTGTGTTTGTTGGTCTGTAGAAAAACCTGAGGAGTGTAGGGTCTGGCCAGTCTTTTCAGCCGGTCTGGGGTCTTACAGGCATAAAGTGTGTGTATGATAATAGTTACAGTCACACTAAAAAATACTCTACAAACATGCTTTTCCTGTTTTTTACACAAAACAAATGGTACAACCAAGAAATCATGCCCTAAGGCTTTGTAGTGAAATATGAAATTATATATACAGACAGTGTACAACTAGAATTAAGATCACTGTAGTCATGTTAGTTACTGATGCTCCAGTTTTCAGGAGAATTATTTCATACAGAATCACCACAGGCTCAACTGGTGAGCAGCTCAGCCAGGGTTTCTGAGAGCAAGCCAAGGTGCTAAAATGCATCTCCCAGGACATATTGAACAGCTCAATTAGTGGTAGGGCCACTAGGCCATTTGCTTTGGCCACTATAGGGGAAGAACACATGCTTTCCTTTTCTTCTGCTACACAGTGAACAAACCACGTATCCTAAATCTTTCCTCCCCTTTGAACTCTCAATCTGAAACCAGGTAAGACCACTCCCCTAGCAAAGAGCAATCAGCTCAGTGAACTTTACTCTGCAACCTACTTTGAGAGCAGATATATAAAAATATTCTTCTAACCCTGTCAAACAAAATTTATTTATTTCTTAGTAAAACTGATTCTGATTAATTCCTTTTCAAGGTAACTAAACAAAACCACATTTCAAGCACACACACTTATGAGGACTGGAAATACCAAAGGATTTCAATCTTTACCAACAAGCAAACAAGAAAAACAAACATATAAAGTTCTAAAAAGCACATGTTAATCACATACTGCCAAAATCTCATACCTGCCATAATGACACTAGTTTTTCAGGATTTCCTCACTGACTCTTCAGAGGCATTTTCTGTAGTAGAAAAGAGAATTAATACTCTATCTCTCTCTAATGAAACCCTTACAATTTAAATACTAACTTCATACTTCATTTGTTGAGAAATATTCCCAATGGAAGAAGGTTCCCACAATCTAAACACTCAAAACTGTTTTAGGAAGTAGACCAAAAATACTGTGTTTTAGCTCGATATACACATATCATATTCTCACCCTCCTTCACTCCATACACTTACATTATAGAGCTCTCATAAGAATACCAGGGATTTTTTACCTCTTCTTATTTCACAAGCAGCCAAAAATCAAAGTCGTCTCGCAGTTACTAGCAGGCAGGGTTGGTATACATAAAAACCCAAATATACAGCACTCCTGTTGATCGTTGCCTCATACGCATGGCACAGTTCATTCCTTTCCCATAAAGGAAAACAGGTGTTTCTGTAATGCAAACTAAGTTTCTATACATGTGAAGCTTTCATACTTTTCACGTTCTTTTCTCGCTCTTTAGGATTAAAAGACTTTTTCTCTTAACATCTCTTTTGCCTGGCTTTGTTGAACAAACCCTTTAATTTTAACTCCTGCAAGATGCAACTGAGAAGAAATCAGTTCTCATCAGTAATGTGATACCTACAGCAGTGGTGATGCCACTTGGGAATGTGCTGGGGCATCCAGAGAGCCAGAGCACTGCAGCAGCGAGGCCGACAATTTCCTTACAGTGCCAGAACACTGGCACAGGGAGCAAGGTCAGCTCTGTGTGGGCACAGGAAAACAAGAACATAAGATTGAAATCATCATGACACTCTTCTCAGAAAGCTGGTAATGTGAAACAAGAGGTAGGTGCCTTGGGTTGCCTGCAGGGTTAGGTGATTATTTTCTAACAATATTTCCTCAGTGCTCCTTTTTCTCTGGACAGCTCAAGCCCTGCGTGTGCTATCTGGTTTCCAGTAGAAGAAACGCAATGACTCAAGTATTTTCGGGAAGAGGGCTTACAAAAAACCCACACAAAACACAGGAAGAAGTTGGAAGAAGAGGTGTCTCTCTTCAAAGGCCTTGTCTGGTGTTAGCAGTACACAGGTGAGGTGTGTTTCCTACATTCACCGAATACAGAGTCATTTAGGTTGGAAAAGACCTCCGAGATCATCAAGTCCAACCTTTGACTGATCACCACCTAGTGAATAAGGTGCCACAACCAGCTGTTTCTTGAACATCTCCAGCGATGGTGACTCCACCACCTCCCTGGGCAGCCCGTTCCAATGCTTGACAACACTTTCTGTGAATTCCTCCTAATGTCCAACCTAAACCTCCTCTCGTGCAGCTTGAGGCTGTGTCCTCTTGTCCTGTCACTAGTTGCCTGGGAGAAGTCACTGACCCCCACCCGGCTACAACCTTCTTTCAGGGAGTTGTAGAGAGTGAAGAGGTCTCCCTGAGCTTTCTCTTCTCCAGGCTAAGCCCCCTCAGCTCCTCCAGCTGCTCCGGACCCTTCCCCAGCTCTGCCGCCCTTCTCTGGGCAC